AACCTGTGAAAAATCAATATGGAAAATTCCTTCATATTAACATAGTAGACTATTTTTACAGGTTTTTCTTAGAGTGTAGCATACTAATAAACTACTAATACCCTGCTTAAAACTAATTGTTCAGAATGTGCTAATAATGTTTTTTTACTAGCTAATAAAAAAAACTTAAATTGCAATTGTTAAAAAATGGGTAAGTGTTCAATAATTTAATGTTGTATTTAAAAATACAGTTATTTATATTTTAATATTATTATATTATGCATTTATATTATTTTACGAACAAATCGAAATTAACATACATAAACTATATTTTTTGCTGAGATTTGATGCAGTGACACGATTTTGCGTCGTGATGACATCATCGCACAATGGCACATTTAGCAACTTTTAGCAACAAATCGACCTTCCTTTAGCAACTTCCCATTAAAATTAGTTGGCAACACTGGCTACTAGTGGTCCTTTACCTCGTGGTGGCGATACTGTTCACTTTTAACTGAAAAGCAACCAAAGAAGAAGCAGCGCGCGGGAAGACTCGTTTCTCAGCAACGACCAACGTGTTCATCTCACTCTCTGCAGGAATGATTAAAACAACGGAGATTTAATCAGTATAATGGAGCTACTGCTAAAAACACCGACGAAAAGAAGACTGGCTACTAGTGGTCCTTTACCTCGTGGTGGCGATACTGTTCACTTTTAACTGAAAAGCAACCAAAGAAGAAGCAGCGCGCGGGAAGACTCGTTTCTCAGCAACGACCAACGTGTTCATCTCTCTCTCTCTGCAGGAATGATTAAAACAAAGGAGATTGAATCAGTATAATGGAGCTACTGCTAAAAACACCGACGAAAAGAAGATGCCGATTAAGGCGAGTTAATCAGGGAGGCGATTTGGCAGGAAAAAAAAGAAAAATATTGAAGTTCATTCATTTCCTTCATGCAACAGTGGGAGGAATTTAAGTGTGAAGGGGGATTTTGAAAGGTAAGCTTTTCTTTAGTGTAGCGAATGTGTTTTACATTATTGTGTTTATGAAGTTAAAAAGACATAAAAGACAATTTATTAAAAAGACACATTTTTAATCAAGAATTTCATTGATCAAAATAGAAAATACGAATTAAAAAAAAAAACAATTATAAACTGCAATTTGCAGCAGATGTTTAAAAACATAATATACGCTTTTATTTCACATATTCAACTGCCCAGCTAAATGAATGAAGGACATTTTACACTGTAACTGTACATGGCTTGCTTTTTTTTGCCGCCTTTACAGTAAGTTACTGGGTGGATTGCGGAAGCGTGCTGCTTTATGCTAGCCAGTAAAAACACAAATGTAACAGACTGAAGAAATGCGTAATTTTTTTTTTTTCAGTTTAGATTTGTGACGGTATATTTGATTGGTTGTATGTAAAGTTATCTCTGATTCGTCAATGAAAAAGTTTTATTTTAGTTAGATTTAGAATAAAACACTGCCATAATACTCTCACTAACTTACTTCTATTATATCTTTGTAGGTTAGAAATAGTAAGAGTAGTATGCTATTAAGTGTTAAGCCTTTCTTTCGCGGTGTGTGTCATTAATGCACGACGAACAGGCTGTCACACAGTCTATGGCTGTCAGGGTTGGGGTTGCCATGTACCATAAGCTAAATAACGCATGCACCTAGAAATGGAAAACGGTGCACATTACCTATCAATGGGGTATGGATCGGGCCTGGTGGAGATAAAAACACAGGAAACTAATGTCAAAATATAATAATAATAATGACACGATGCAGAGTGTAGTTTGACTTTAAGAAAAAAACGCACATGGCAACATAGCTTGACGTCATGACGTAATGTCGGAATAGAACCTTTATGAATTTCAAGTTTGCCGCGAGAAGGCTGCGTGTAGTTTTCGCCAGTGTGAACAAAGTTTGTAACGGATACGTTAACACACTGATGGCTACACCAGATTCCAACATGGGAACCGACTCCAGAGGTGATAAATACTTTATTTTACTTCAGCGTGTTTTTAAACTGATCCGGCGTGTTGCGGCGCGAGCTCTGTTGTGCTCGTTTCCTACCTCGATTAGACTCCGGTTTTGCTGGGATGAAATTAATCAAGTTATCATCCACTATAACGATTTCGGAGTTGATGGTGGAAATTCACACTGTTAAATACCAAATAACATCGAAATATAAGTTATTTGTGGACATTAGCGAACAAACCTCTTGAGTTGGCTGCGGCCAGTACACGACGCTTTTCTGATGGTTTTAGTTTAATAGAAGTGATTATAAGCTATTCTGTGTCTAGTTTATAGTTTGATCCATTTTTAGATAAGTTTAGTACTAAAAAGTGTTCGCTCACGTAGTAATACCGTATCTTATCTGATCTTGTCGCAGGTGGGATATTTGAGTGTCTGTGGAGGCCTCTGAGAAGAGTCTGGAGACTCCTGCGCTGCCGTGAGCCTGGTGTGTATCTAAAAGATTGACAGTATATCAGTAGGAAACACTTGAAGTCCTTAACTAATATTATAAAGCACACTCATTCGTGAGTAGAAAATAGGAATTTATATGAAATATAAATATGTAGTTTAGTACAAAGTGTTACTTATTCTTCATAAACAGTGGCAAAAATAATTTCTCTGTATTTATCAGAAATAAAACTTTCTGTGGAAGAAACCTCACCACATTTTAGTGGCCTTAGCTCTGTCCGTCCGTGGTGAAGATCCTCAAGTTGTTTATCTTCACTGAGGCGAGGTAAGATACAAATTGATTGTCTTTTATTTTCATGCAGAATAGAGTGGGGGAACTGTGACGTAGGGGCGTGCGATATATATCGTCTGCGATAATATTGTACTATAAATTATACTACAATTGGACTATACTGTAAATTGATAAACTGTTCGGCGTGATGACGTTATATGTCTCCGACAGCGCCTTTAGTCCCATTTAGCAACTTGTTAGCAACCGTCTTTTTTAAGAAACGTAAGTTTTAAAAAATCACAAGTGGGGTGTAACTGGTGTGTTTTATGTCGTTGAATAAAACGTGAAGGTATCTTGAGCTTGTGTGAACCACTGACCTTATTTTAGGGGACTTAAACGAACCCCCATTAAATAACCCCATTGATTCTGGGACGATGGAACCGGAAGTGCTAAAATGCTAACTCTCTTCCGGGTTTTTGCCTACAGAGTGACATCATAGTTCCACCACTCTGTTGTGGTAATGTGAATTTATCCGCTAGAACAGTGCTTCTGAAACCTGTACAACCAAAAACTAAGACATAAATCAGAATAATAGTAATAAAAAATAAAAAAATAAAACCTAAACATTGTGCAACTTAACGTTCAAGTTTCAGCCTAACTACAGCTCAGGCATGACATAGGCCTTTACTGTCTTCTTAGAAGGCTTTGTGGCTTTTGTAAGAGGCAAAAATTAGTGGGCAGGAAGCTAACGTGGAACAAAAACAAGAGTCCATACACATAACATTTATTAACACATTTTTCAGCAACATGAATTTAAAGTTATTTGGAGAATAAACCCTATTAAATATCTCTCTGCATACTGGTGTGTGTGTAATCCTTTAAAGGGGTCATATGATGCTGCTAAAAAGAACATTATTTTGTGTATTTGGTGTAATGAAATGTGTTTCAT